CCCCAAAACCCCAAAACCCCAAAACCCCAAAACCCCAATAAAATATATTTTCTGTAAATATTATTAGTAATCTTTTATTTTAGAAATGGATCATCAACGGTTTTCCAATGGAACATTTGATATCGAGCCTTACACCACAGATACAGCAGATTGCTCATTCTATAATGAAAGAGAGACTTATCGTGACAACAATAAATATCTGGGGAAGATGTATAATAATACTTTCAGTGATGAACCAAATCTCATGCCCAATCATATGTACAAATATAAGCAAGGATCTGATAATGGGCACAATCCAACTTTGAATCAAAGATTTAAAAAGAGAATGATTAATCAACCTCTAAAATTAGACAAAAGAAGGATCTCAAGGTTCCAAAAACAACTGGCTGCTCAGAAGAGACAAGGGAGTGACCAGGAGTCTAGTACTATACCTAGCATTCACCCAAATTGTAAGGCTTAATTTTTACCTATAGTGGCAAATAATTTCAACAAATAGATCGAAAGGACTCTCAACAAGTCGTAACAAGAACATTAAGCTTAACAGATCCTTAAATGGGATGCCAAGACTTAATGATAGCTTACAGGCGAGGAACTTCAAACTGAATCTGGATTCAATGAACCATTCAAATGAAAATTTGGAGCTCTCCAGCGCCCGGGAAAGCTTCAATAGCAAGCCTGGAAGTATGACAGGTCGTAAACTTTTTAACTTCAAGCGTGATGGTAGTGACAATCCCATCAAGCTACTCCGTCAGATCCGGGAGCTAAATAAGGTGATTGAGGATAAGGATACCCAGATCAACTTCTTGAAGAAAACAGTCAAATTTACAGAAGTAAACGAGCTCAAGCAAGAAAACCAAATCTTATACCAAGAGTGCAGGCGTCTAAGGTCTCTCTGCAGTCAGTTTTTGAAATAAAGAGCTTGATGACTTTGAACTAGAGGAGGAAGTCAAGAAGTCTATCTCCCAAACAGTTGGAGACTCTACTCTTAAACATAAATTCCAATCGAAAAAGTCAGCAATTGACGAACTACTGGAAGAAAATGATGGAACTCCTAAGACTATTCTTAAGAAGCCTACTGTAAAATTTGCTGATGATCTCTCAGGCAAGGCGAGAGGGAAAACTATCCTTAAGAAAGGCGACTCTAAGATTATAAGGAAGCAGACAGGATATAACCGAGTTGAGAAGAAAGTCTTTAAGAACGGAAGGAGTCCTAACTCTGAGCTAGAGAAGATTAAGGAAGACTCAGAGTCTATCTCTGAGAAAAGCCTCAATCACACAGAATCTTATAGAAGTTCAAATGGAGATAAGAAACCAAACACAGATTTGTCAAATAAAATGGGTATTTTTATTTTTAACGAACTAGTTATAGAACAACCAAGAGTTTCAGAGGATGAAATCTCAGAATTACTAGCAGACCTCAGATTCTTGCTCCAAGTGTTTAAAAATGCATCCAAGTTCCTTTTTGAAGAGAAGTTCATCATCTCATATGAGGATGCGATACAGGCATTTCATGAGAAGCTCAGGATTTCTCCTGAAGAATCCAAGAAATTAGCATTGTATCTAATTGACTATAAAAGTCAGGGGAAAAAGTCAGCAAAGAGTGCTAACAGCATCACTGCTAATGACATTCAAGAGAAGATTGAGGAGATGGTAGGGAGCTTTCGAAAATATGAAAAAGAAGAAGAACAGAGCTTAATAGATGCCTTCTTCTCAGATGACAACAGAACTTATAAGCCCAGATTCCTAAGTGAAATGAATGATCTTTCCTTCGTAAAATGGGTTTCCAAAAATGAGTTTGAGAAAACCTTGTCAAATATCCCAATGGATGTTAACATGAAGTGTCTCTTAATTAAGTTACTTCGGGAAAGCAATTCATTGCACATGATATCTGGAGAATGTATTAAGAAATTTGTCAATTTAATAAACTCGAAATCTAAGCACCATCACAGGCCAGACAAGAGTTACGAAGAATTTGAAGAGGATAGTGCTTCTATCTCGACTGACTCAGCAAAGGCAGCTCCAAATGTGCTGAACCTAAACAAGAACTTTTTTGTGAGACTTGCTGATTTCATGTTTAACAACGATCTTACACTTTATCAGATAATTCATAAGAAGATATATGATAAAATGTTCAATGGCAGAGAACATGAACTGATCAGTGCCAAGACCTTCTTCAGTATTCTTGAGGAGAGGGGCTTCCCCACTTCTGAAGGTGAGAAAGGAGCCATTGGAAACCTTCTCAAAAACTCCAATCTCATTGATGTAATAGAGGTTGAAAAGGTTGTAAAAATTTTAGAGGAGCTTGACATCAAGGAGGACAAGCCTATTGCTAGCAAAAATTTTGACTACAGACATCTAGCAGCTCCTGACATCAGACAAGTCAACAGGATCATTGAGTATATGGAAGAGAACAATATTTCGGAGATAGAAGACTTCCTTGGAAGGGAAAGAATCTCTAAGATCGAGGTCATAGGCAAAAATAAGAGAGAAGATATTGAAATTATTGACATCGAACAATTTACAGATTGTCTCGAAGAGAAGAACTTGATTGAAAATGATGATCTTAGTGATGGTATCCAAATGTTCTTCGCTATCTCGCTGGATAACATTGACAAACTGATGATCAGGAAGATCAAAATATGAATAAAGGATTTCAAAACGGTCAAATTTTTCAAGTATTACGGTACCAGGTTTAGAGAGGAAGAAGAAGTCATCTCTGATGACGAAGATAAAGATGTCGAAGTCATCAGCCAGAGGAACAAAATTTCTGAGAAGGATATTCTCAGGAAAAACACCATGCTTAATGCAAAGAGAATGAAAACAGGAAGATTCTAGCTCTATTTGGGACAGAATTATTATATTAATGTTCCTAATATTATTGTAATGGGGTTTTGGGGTTTTGGGGTTTTGGGGTTTTGGGGTTTTGGGG